AAAAAAGACCAAATATTTTCTAGTTGAGTTCAGTAACTGGAATTACAATAAAATTTAAAAAAGACCACCTTTCAAAATTTAAGCAGTAATAGATATTTTAAAACGTTGAATTAGAAATAGACCCGTTTAAACCGTCATGTTGCAGAGCAGCTGCAGTTAAAACACAACTAGCAATTTAACATGTTTCATTTTAACTAAAACTGACGACATGAAGTATTAATGTTGATAAATTGTGGTACAGAACAGTCAGATAACGCTTCACAATGGCAAAAAAAGTGTCGTATTTTCATCAACTTACCGGAGAAAATACGGAGAATGAACTATATTCAATGCTGAACCCGCTGCTGTTTGGAACTTTTTGCCGCTGCATGACCCACATGACTTCAACATTCCAGTATTTCTATGGGAGTCTATGGGAGTGTCGCAACTCTCTCTTTACAGGGCTCTGCTGTAGACTAGAGACAGGATCAAAACAAATCATACAGTGTCAAAGGCAATGGAATAAAAGTGGGTTTTCAGGCGAGACTTAAAGACTGAGAGTGTGGGAGCCTGCCTGACACTCAGTGGCAACTCATTCCACAGTCTTGGACCTACAACAGAGAAAGCCCTGTCACCTCTGAGCTTGCGACGGGTTTCTGGAACTGAAAGGAGCATCTGGTCTGCTGACCTCAGAGAGCGAGGTGGGACATATGGCTGCAGAAGATCAGTGAGATAGGATGGGGCAGAACTGTTCAGTGATTTAAAAACATACATTAGTATTTTGAACTGGATCCGAAGGTGAATGGGTAACCAGTGCAGGGAAGCCAAAACTGGAGTAATGTGTTCTCTATGGACTGTACCAGTTAAAAATCGGGCTGCAGATTTTGGACCAGTTGTAGACGAGCAATGGAGGACTGACTGATTCCAAACAGAAGTGAATTGCAGTAATCAAGCCTAGATGTTATGAACGCATGGATCACTGTCTCAAAATTATTTTTGGACAATATGAGCTTCAGCTTAGACAGCCGCCTCAGCTGAAAAGAACAGGATTTAACAATCATGTTTACATGACTGTTAAGTTTTAAGGAAGGGTCCATTATCACTCCCAAATTGGTGACTCTTTGTTTCTCTAACGGAGCTAGAGAGGAAAGGTCAATGCAGTGGTTCATGAACGTGCCACTGGGATGGAACAAGATGACTTCAGACTTCTTCTCGTTGAAA